CCCCAAAACCCCAAAACCCCAAAACCCCAAAACCCCAGAAGGATTAATCAGCCTAATATTTGAAATGAGTTTGATTAATAAATTATATTCAGAATATTAGTGAAAATTTAACTTTAATACTCACTGCTTAGTAATAAATACTAAATAAAGTTCAGAATTATATGATCAACCACGAACTATTATAGGATCCTTTCGATTTCATGATAGACCACTTCCTATAACCAACGAAGAAGTGGCATGAAGCTTTCAATGAATCAGACTTATTTTAAAATTTGAATGAGCAATATGAGGAAACCTTTATGTACGATTTAACTCCTATCTAGTAATGTGACTATTTCCATAACGTTCCTGTCGATCTACATTTTTCTGGAACAGAATTAAATATGAAACCAATAGCCCCAGATGTTTTTGATAAAAATCAATTAAAATAACAAATAGAGGATCATTAAAATGCGAAAATAATATTTGATGCTTAAGATCTCAAGATAACAATAGAAATTGGAGGAGAAAAGTAAGAACCAGCCATTGACAAAAAGATTAGTATTCATTTAGCACAAGCTAATAAATCGAAATCTCTTTCTCCCAGTAAGTCAACAATAGAGTTTCAAAATTAGGGAATACAAGCAAACAATACAATGATTCTATCTGAAGAAAGTCAAAATTCTAAGAGTTCAAATAAAATTGATAATAGGTAAAAAATAAAAAGATTTAGCAAATAAAATGATATTGAAATCGAAAAAATTGATACTCAAATATTAGAATAGCAAATAAGGTAAAAATTTTGCTAGTCATTCAAACTTTAAACATCAATAAGAATATTGAAGAATGAAAGACTTCACAACATGTTAAATATTTGACGGAAAGATGTGGTACTTAAGACTATTATTAGGGAAATCAGAAAATGCTACCTCAAATAATTTTTACTGGAGACTAGATACTTAAACACATCTAGGTATAGGCATGAGAAATATTATCTTTTTGCAATTTAAAGTTTCATTAGGGAAAATTTATTAAAAAATCTAAAAAATTAATAAGAGGGAAATAGCAATTAGATTATTTGCTAAAATAAAGATAATATGCTTTTTAAAAATTAACATTTCTACTTGGATCAATGTTTTATTCTGAGCGAATGCTTAAAATTTTCAAAAATATCAAAACCTAAGAAATTATCAGCTAAATTAACTCTTCCTTATATCAGTTTAGCTTTAAGAAATTGAGCTATTTGGCAAACTTAAACTCATTCAAATTCCTTGTGCACCACTTTTTAAACAATCACCGAGAATAATCATTTAGAGATAACAAATGTATGTCAGAATGTGAATCAGATTACGTAGAGGGGTTCAATTACTTAGAGAAAATATTCAACATCTTTGAATAGTATGAAATGTGATACTTAATACTCAAAAATTATTAACTAAGGATCTTGAGCAGAAATTTCAATTATTAGCTATTGATGCTTATAAAATTTATACTAAGGCTCATTTTTAATGATTGTATAAAAAGCATATAAAGTAAATATAATACTTATAAAAATTAACTTTTTCATTTCTCATAAATTATTTATGAATTTTATACTTGGGGTTTTGGGGTTTTGGGG